CAGCAGGCCTGTAACGCACCTCGGCCGTCCTGCTGGCCCGCCGTGTTTAGCCTCAAAGCTGCTGCTCTGCGGGGGTGCCTGCGGCCCCGCTTCGGGCTGCAGAGTCGAGCCCTGGCCGTGCTCATGTCTGCAGTGAGAGCGGTTTTAGTGACTGCGGCTCGGTGCTGCTTTTGCTTTCAGAGTGAGCCGCGTTAGAAAACAGGCAGCCGCCCCTGCGCCCTGTGCTTGTCCGCGTACCCCCGGGACCCCCGGCACTGGCAGTCTGCCCGCAGTCAGAAGCGTCGCGGTGGTGGACGTCATTAACCTGAAAACGCTTCTTACTCGCATGCACCGTTTAAATTCATGTGACAGCCTACCGTGCATCTTAAGCAGACTTACAATCTGTATGCAGTTTTATCTTAGGAGAGTTTATTTGGGGGAAATAACGTGTACAGAGAGAAACTGAAGAAATTTGCATTATCACCAGTTCAACGCGTTGTCATCTCATAGAAAGTCAGAAATTGGTGATAAAGCCAGTTTATTTATCCTTGATTATAGAGTTATATAACCTTGTCTAACAGTTTGTGATAAAAAGTATGTATTTATTTTGCAGTCTAGATCTTACTCCTTCTGCTTCTGGTTTACTGACTGAAAATGCAGTTATTCCAAAATGCAGTTGTCTGGGCCTGCCACGAGCCAGCAAACCGTGAGGAACCCTGCCGCTACGAACTCCTGGACATTTGAACCCCTGTAACATGAAGCTCATTGCCCAGAAAAAGGGATTGTCCCATGGCACGGTCCCCAGGGTGGTGAAGCTGTGCCCGACTGCTGCATTTTCACTCCTGGACAAACCAGCCTTGTACAGTTGTCTCAATGTTAATTTGTTCTCATTTGTTTCCTTAGTGTGCTCTCTGCCTGAGTTCTTTTGGTGCTAATTTATGTGCTAGGGGCTTTTGTCCTCTGCTAAGGTTGAGGGATGGGGCAAAAAGCCATTTTGACTTTAGCAGCATTGTTTCCAGACACACAGAGATGTGGCCCAGGCTGTTCACTCAGCTCTTTCATTTTGCTTGGCAGTTTCTATCACCGAAATATGACCCAAGGCAGAGGTCTTCACTCATACTCATTTTACCTCACCTGAAATTCCAGGCATTTACTCCGTCCATGGTCCTGCTGTAGTTAAAGGAGGGAGATAAATGGTTCCAACGAACAAATCATCCCATCTTAAATTAGGTTTTTAGGCTGGAAAAATCATCCTTGGGAGGAAGCCTTCTCCTTCCATTAATGCCAACAGGAGCCTACATAGCCCCCATAGGGTAGGCATGCAGGTGGCTGAAGTTAGGTAAAATGAATTTAACCCTGAGTGGCTTAATGAAAATATTTTTATAGTAATTCTGTCTTACATGCCAAAAATCAAAAGAGAAAACTCGGTGTCCTATGAATGAAGTGCTGTACAGGAAAAAAAACAATTTAACAGTATGAATACATCCTACAGGCTGGACCAGAGTCATACTTCTCCCGGCAGCCTTGCTGTGTGTCTTAACTAGTGCCTCCTTTCCTCTTTCTCGTTAGATCTCGGAAATCTGGAAGGTGCTGTGAAGACATTGGACAGATGCCATGGCAACAGGCTCCAAAGCAAGTATGTTGGCTTGGCTGCCTGCAAGGATGTGCTGCCAGAGGAATTATTCTTGTCCATTGTGGGACAAAAATAATCTTGTTCATTTACCTGTCTTCAAACCTGTTAGGAGAGAAAGACTTTTTGTATTGTCATGCAGTTGTCTTTACTACTCAGGAACCCTGGATACTTTCAGGTTAGGGAATGGGCAGAGCTGTGGCTGAGCCAGCACCATCCCAGAAGCTCTTAGTCCCCATGCAGGTCACAGGTGAGGGTAGCGTTCACCGCCCATAGTGAACTCCAGCCAGCTCAAAACCCACAGGCTCACATACTGGCAGCTGCTGAATTGTACCAGCCTCAATTCATCACTGGCTAATTCAGCCGCCTTCTTTGATGCACAGGAAGCAGTCCAGAATTCAGAAGGTGGACATGTCTGGATTTCAGGTCTGTCTTTGATGTAGGAAACAGCAACCTGCCACAGCAGCTGGTGTCCTGTCACAGCTTCTGTGCAGAACTTTTGGTCCAGCCAGGTCCAGTGATGGGAGAAACTCTGCCATACCAGCAAACACTGATATTAAGCCTCTAAATCAGGGTTTATTGAATAGTGTGGAGGTGAGTGCCTTTATGTATCTCCTAGCACTGTGTTCTGCAGCCTGTCTGATCTGCTCGGGGCTGGAAAAACTGAAGCAAAATGCGACACTGGACATGCCCATCCATTTTTGTTTCCATCTCTCTGGAATACAAGCCCCTCTGCCTCAGAATGATCCCGCCCAAGGCTGAGAAACCTTCCTGACCTCCTTGCTCTGCCCTTGCTGGGGAAGAGACAAATCATCCACTTCCAATCCCTCCCAAAGCTAAAGCAGAGCAGCCTTACAGGTATGTCCAGCTCAGGGAGAAGGGGAACAAAACCAGGGCTGGTTAGGCAGCAGAGGAGGTGAGTAAGAGCACCAGATAACCTCCATGACAGTTGTTTTGCGTAGGTTTGGTGTTGTGCTACTATATCACACCGTCACCAGGGTATAGTACAGCCATACAGTCCCTGATGTGACTGTGGTGGGATTTGCTCCAAGAAATAAACTAGTATTGGCTCAGCAAAACCTGAACACTGCTGGAATGGCTTGTGTGTGCCAAGTGCGAGACTGATATCCAAGCAATTTCTGTCTAATCTCATCACGTGGCATCAGTTATTTGTGCACATGCATAAGCGGAGGTGACTTCAAGGGATAGGAGTAGTGAAGATTAAAGCTTGATAGATGCTAGAAGCTATTCAGTGATTGATACCAATTCTCTTCAGAGGTGCAGACAAGCCAAAGTTGTTATTTCTGAATGTGATCTCTTAGACCAAAGGAATGGTTTTCAGTATCCTCTTGGATATTGATCACTTTGACCTAGGTGGTTACCATGTCTCAGGAAGGCTATAGGAGAACTGAGAAATTCAAGGGCAGCATTTTCTTGAAGGTCAGTTTGGATGCCTTTGTTTCTGGATATCATCTTGATTTGCAGAGGTAGACACCTTGGCTGGAATTAGTGAGGAAGAAACTATACTGAATATCTGTTACCAAGCAGCCACAAGAAATGTAATGTTATTTGTATAGTATCCAGATTCTTCAGTTTGAAAAGAAAATGTTCATGTGTGCATTTGAACTAGAAACACTGGTCGCCACAAGATGGCAGTATTGTTCAGCTAAAACTTTTAACTCGGTAAAAGCTCACTAAACAAGTAGCGGTAAATAAGGTTAATAAATTTAAAACAATATTATCTGACATTTCTAAGATCTCTGTGACAATAACAGAAAATATGAGCAAACAGCAATGCTAATTAAAAAGGCTGTTGCATCCTGCTAAAAAAGTAATGATTATAATACAAAAGGCTTTCTATTTATGATAAAAATGAATAAAATTGAACAGCTGTCACTAACTTATGAAATTGCTGGTTATAATATAGTGAAAGTGATCAAAAATTATCAAAACTCTTTTTTTGCAACGCACTGGACTAATTTTCCTTCAGATAGTTCTGGAGTTTTTGACAAGAGACTGGACAAATGTTTGTCTGAAATGGCTTCGGGGTAGCGAGTTTTGTAGTGGTGAGGCAAGTAGGCTGAATGATCTTCTAAGTTTCCTCCCAGCCACATTTCTATGATGCTGTGATTTTTCAAGAGGCCTCTAAGTATAAAGACATAACTGTATCTCTCATCTCCCTGGCTGTCATGTTCTCAGACAAAGGCATTTGACCAATTTTATGCTTGGGAGAAAAGGTCAGATCTTCACAAATTCTGCCTCCGCTTTTTTTCTGATTTTCCCATTATGGTGCCTGGCCAAATAAATGCTATGGCCTCTACCTTGCAAGCATGCCTTGCCCTGACAGGCTTTCATTTAAAACATCTGTCCTTCCCCAGGGTAATGCAGCTCTCTGACTTGCATTTTCAGGGTTATTCAAAAGCACATTAAACCCAAAACATTTATTATTGAACAAAAGAAAAGCAAAAGTTGCCCAGTCATCTATGTATAAATGTTTGTATATCTCTGTGCGGGCACATAAAATGGACGGTACACACTCACCGCTATTAGCAATATTTTCTTTCCTTTTGTTTTACTGAAAAAATTATCAAAAGCTTGTCTGATTCATAGGTAGACGTGGCCTAGATCTAAGCCCAGACATTAGGGCTGAAATTGGCTAACTTGGAAGCCACACGTGTAAATGTAACTAACAATGTCAATTCTTTTATACTTCTAAATGTTCTGGTATGAATGATACATGGACATAGTCTTTGGAAAAGAAATTAATTTCAGCTGGTTGGAAAAAGCCCCACCTTTCCTGCAGAATTGTTGAAGTAAGTCTTTGCTAGAAGCTCAGGAGAGCAAGCCATCTTAAATTTAAAGTTAGATTCAAACAGCTGGCTATCTTACCCTCTCAGTTTTCTCACTTTTTGTGTAGAATTACATGCTTGCCTAGTTATATCTCTGCCATCACATTCCCTCCATGTGTCACTCAGTTATGCTTCAAGAGCATATGTGAATGATTTTATCTTTAATAAAAGTATGCAAATGATTTTTCTTCTCACCAGCCATTCTTTAGAACGTGACTTGATGTTATTCTCCTCCCAGAAGACTTCTAGGTAGCTGGAGAAATGGACATGCATGCCTTATAGTAGCTTCTGTCTCTAAAGGTAAGCAGGTAATTACAAGACCCATCCAGGTTTGTTCCCTGTTAGTGTTAAAAGCACTGGTACAGCATGTGCAATAGTACAGTACATGTTCAAGTTTTCCATGGATGTTGCAACTAAAAGTGTGCAAGTGTGTGAATAAAGACAAAGCTGTGTACAAAATGTGCATTAGGTAAATATAAGGTGCCTGATTTTCTTTCACAAATGTGTATTTACTTGTCACAAATATTTACTGTTCATATATTTGAAGTTTTACGTTAGATCTAACATTCAGGGGAAAAAAATACGTGTGTCTGCAGTGAAGTGGAAGGTCAGAGAAGAAATCATTCGAGAAAACTGGGGAACTCATATATACTCTGAAAACCAGTAAAATGAGCCTGATATATGATTTGTTATTTATTTACTTTAGCTCACATTTCACTTCAGGCATCCTAAAGAGCTTACATTCATCTTACTCTGGGACTACCGCAAATGACTGCTTTCCCTGGTCATGCTGTCCCTTCTCTAGAAGTAAAAATGTAAGCTCACCTTAAAGTAGAAAAACCCATCACTTGCATAGCACTCCTCACCCT